CATCCAAATGAACTGTGCTTGTTTTATAAAGTGAAATGGCGGAACAACCTTTGGTCTCCTTCCTCCCATCCCTGCGGCTTTCCTTCATCACCTCAGTGGATATCAGGTAAATCTGTCACTGGCCCAGGGAAGGAGCTAAGTAAACAGCAGCTTCATGAAACTCAAGATGTGCCATTTGGGACTAAGTCTGTTTCTCCCTCTCTCTCTCTCTCTTTGTTAGGAAATCTCATTCGCTGTCCAAATCCATCATTCCTCTCCCTGGCAAATCTGAAAGAGGCCTTTTAAAGTAGTTGCTGTGTATTTAGCAAGTATATGTTGGCAAGTGGTTAGGAGGCCAGACTCAGTAATAAAAAAAAATGTAAAAACTCACAAATACACACAAACACACACATACACACACACACACACACACACACACACACACAGCTACTAGTGCCCTGGCATACATAGGACCTTGCTTTTATTAATGTCACCTGCATCTGATAGGCAGCTCTCTCCCTTGCTTACCAAAATATGAACTAAAGTCTTTTGAGAAAATGGCCTTTCTTTACTTAATGGATGGAAAACCATTATCTGATCTGGAATTGAATTGAGGAGCTGGGATTTAAATCATGACTTTTAAAGGGGTTGGAGGGGGAGGGAAAAGAGGGTGGGGGTGGGTGCAAGGTCATTCCTCCCTAACCTTCTAGCATAAAACTGCCTTTTAGTAGAAATTTCTGCCTGCGGCTCAAGGGCAAGGGTTGGGAGAGTGGGAGGGAGGCCAAGATGGGAACATTCAGTGGCCACCATCCTCTTTTCCTTTCCTTTTTCTCTTTCCCTTTTGACTCACAGAATTACAGCCATAAGGGACTTTAAAGATTATTTGGTCCGGGTCCTTCACTTTACGGAGGCTCTGGAAGGGGGATGTGACTTACCCAAGGTCACACAACTAAGTAGAGGTATCCTACAAAGAGCTGCAGGACTAGAGATCAATTCAGAAGTCAAGGCTGGAGCAGGTGGGCTGCCAGCTAAACCGTCAAAGATGGTTCAGCTGTTTGAGAGAGGGAGCATAGAGAGAGGGAAAAGAGGGTGACCAAAAGAAAGACTCACAAGGGAGAGGTTGGGGGAAAGAGGAGAAACCAGGGAAGCAAAAGGAGGCAGGAGAGAACTAAGGAAGGAATCAGGAGAGCACTTACAGAAGCCATGTCAAGGAAGAGAAAGATGGGGCCCCCAGTATCCAATGAAGCAATCAGTCAAAAAATATTTATTAAGTGTTGTTATATTCCAGGCATTGTGCTAAGCATTGGGAATACAAAGAAAAGCAAAAAGTCTCTGCCCTTCAGGAGTATAGATTCTAATAAGGGAAATGACATGCAAATAACTAGGAACATACAAGATATATATGAGATGGCAGACAGTAATTCCAGAGGAAAAGTCATGAGCAGCTACCCGGGGCTGGCATTGCAAAAGGTGGGACTTGAGCTGAGTCTTAAAAAAAACAAGTCAGGGAAACCAAGTCATAGAAGTGAGGGGGCAGAACCTTCTAATCTGGGTCACAGCCAGCTCCAAGGCACGAAGGTGGGCTATGGAGCGTCGTGTTCAAGAAATTGCAGGGAGAACAGTATAGCCTGGCCATGGAGTGTGTAGAGGAAAGCAAATTGCAAGAGGACCAGAAAGGTAGGTGGGAGTCAGGTTATAAAGAGCTTTAAATACCAAACAGAAGATTTCATATTTGGTCCCAGGAGTAAGAGGGAGCTATTGGAGCTCTTTGAACATGTGGGCAACACGATTAGACTTCTGTTTTAGAAAAATCGCCTCGACCACTAGGAGGAGGATGGATTGGAATGGGGAGATGGGAGAGGCAGGAAGACCAGTTAAAAGGCTCTTGTAATAGGGGTGAGGTTGAGAGGTGATGAGGGCCTAAACCAGTATGGTGTCTGTGTGAGTAGAGAAAAGAGGATTCTTGAGACTGGTGAGGACTGAGGACTTACTACTGTTGGCCTACCCCCACCTTCTTGGCAATTTCTTCATCCTTGGTTTCTACCACACTATGTTCTCCTGGTTCTCCTACCTCTTTGCCTATTTCTTGTTTCTTGAGCAGTGTCCTCATCTTCCTCTTTCAGAAATTCCATACCAGCCTCCTCCTAGGTTCTGTTCCCTGCCCTTGTCAAATTTTTGTTTTAACTCTTTCCTTTGATGGTCTCATCCATTCTCATGACTTCACCTATCTCCTCCTGCAAATAATCTCTCAAGGCTGTATCCCTAACCCAGACTTCTTCCCCCAAGCTCCAACTTCTTCCTGGACATATTCACTAGGACGGTATTTCAAACCTACGTCAACATTTAAACTTGTTAGCTTTCTTGGTTTTTCTAAAGGTTGCCAGGGGCATGGCTTTTCCTTCAATGGTATTTCATCACAATCAAAAACCACAATTTGTTCAGCCATTCCCCAATTAATGGGCATCCCCTCAATTTCCATTTTCTTGCCACCACAAAAAGATTGTGTGTGTGTGTGTATATATATATATATATATATATACACATACACACACACATACACATATACAATGTATATATGTGTGTACATATGCATATATACACATGTATATATGTGTATACATATGCATACATAAACACATATGTATATATAAGTGTATATATGTGTGTATCCTTTTTTTAATCTCTTTTGGATACAGATTTAGTGGTTGTATTGCTGAGTCAAAGAGTATGCACTGTTTTATAGTCCTTTGGACATAGTTCCAAATTGCTCTCTAGAATGGTTGGAGAGGTTACTTTGGAATCTCTGGGGCTCAGTTTCACCATCTGTAAAATAATGGGCTTGGGTAACAACCCCCACCTAGGTATATTCTAGATATACAATTCATAGAATCATCAATTTAGAAGTAGAAGAGATATTTGTGGCCATCAAATTCAATCCCTGATTTTTACACTTGAGAAGCTAAGTGATTTGCCGGGGTCACACAGCTAATAAGTATTTGAAGTGGGGTTAGAACCTGGCTCTTTTTAACTCTCACGGTCAATGTGACAGGTGTAAGTTGGCACCTCAGCATTGTTTTAATTGGCATTTTGCTAGTTATTTTCCTTGATAACTTCTTTAAAAAATGATGTCCGGGCTCTTTTCTTTTTTTTATCGTGGTTTTCAGGTTGTCCAATAATTTTTAAATGATCTCTTCTCAATCTGTTTTCCAGGTCAGTTATTTTTCCAATGATATATTTCACATTTTCTTCTATTTTTTCATTCTTTTGATGTTGTTTTATTGTTTCTTGATGTCTCATGGAGTCATTAGCTTCCACTTGCCCGACTATAATTTTTACAGAATTATTTTCTTCAGTGAGCTTTTGACCTTTTCCATTTGGCCAATTCTACTTTTTAAGGAGTTCTTCAGTGAATTTTTGTATATCTTTTTCTATTTAGCCGAGGGAGGATTTTTGTGCTTCTTTTACCATTTGGCCTATTCTGTTTTTTAAGGTGTCATTGTCTTCAGTATTTTTTAATGCCTCTTTTACCAAGCTGTTGATTCTTTTTTTCATTATTTTCTTGTATCACTCTCATTTCATTCCCCAATTTTTCTCTCCCTTTCTTATTTGATTTTTAAAGAAATCCTTTTCCCTACTTCTTCTCTAGCTCCAGATCTCACATCCCCCAGAGCTGTCCTGCCTTTACAAGACTCCTTGCTTTTTAGAGGTTGCCAGGGGCATGATTTTCCTTCAGTCAGTCAATGGCTAGCCACCCAATAATTCCATCAAGAAACTGATTGAAGAATTTTTTCACTCCTACAGGTTTGATATTTCTTTTAAGATCTTAATGCTTCATTATCTTTATTACCTGCTAATTACATCCTGTGGTTTCATCAAGCAGACTGGGGAGTTCATTTTCCCCATCACCACTCTAAAATACTTTTCTGGTCTTATTGCTTACTACTACCCTTTTTTCATCCTCTCCTCCAGCCAATATGAATTGTTTGTTCTTCTGTGAGCTCATTCTTGCTCCTTTATTTTACGCTGTCCCTTCTACCTGTTTTCCCTTTCTAATATCTCACTATTGAAATCCTATACATCCTATTAGGGCAGCCCCAAAGTTACCTCCTTTGTGAAATGTTTCCTATTCTTTCCCAATGAAAAATGCCCTCTCCCTTGTTTCACTCTTATGTACTTATGTCAAAGGTACTTATGTCAGAGATTCTTAGTCTGTATCCCCAATTCTTAGCAAAGAGAAGGAAGAGGCAGATCTATGAACTTGCAAGGAAAAAAAATACATCTTTATTTTCACTAACATTTGGTTTATTTCAGAATTCTATGTGTTTTATTTCATGCATTTAAAAATATTAAACCCTTAGGATCCCTTCCCATTTAAGCCTGGCTATATGCAAGTCACTTCTTTATTAGCCTCAGCTTTCTTATCTGTATGAAAACAAACAAACCTGTATAATGCAGATTTTGGACTAGAAGATTTCAGAATTAGAAAGATAACATGATAGAGGATGGAATTCTGGACTTGGTATTCAAATAGCTGGATTCAAGTCTTACCTCGCACTCTTATTAGCTGGATGATACTGAACAAGTCACATAGCTGCTCTAAGACTCAGTTTTCCTTCCATAAAATGTGCATAACAATAACACCTATCTCTCAGTGTTGTTGTAAAGATTTGAAGCAACACAGCAGCACAGAGTGAAAAAAAGTGCTGAACTTGGAGTTACCATGCCTGACTTCTTCCACTTAGTAACTGTGTGACAAATCATTTAGCTTAGCCAAATCACTTAACTTGTTTGGGCAACTAGATAACCCCTACAGCCCTTTCTAGCTCTAAATCTCTGATCCTAGGATCCTAAAGTGCTAAATAAATGTCAGTTATTATTATTTCATCTCTCAGTGATATGATAGATATGCTTGGATCTCCCCCTTAGCCCTTTCATCTACCAATCACCAAGGTATTCACTGAGGGAAAACTGTTGGTATAGGCAACCAGCTAAAAGGTGACATTTCTTTTTAATTTTTCCAGTGTCTGACCTTCAGGAAGAAGGGATGAATGCCATCAATTTACCTCTCAGCCCAATCCCCTTTGAGCTGGATCCTGAGGACACTATGCTAGGTAAGTCTTTTATTATACTACATTGGAAAAACCTTCGAGGAGCTCATCATGGCAAACATCTTACTTGGCACTAAATTATTTTTTTCTTTCATTAAAGAGGAGAATGAAGTCCGGACAATGGTGGATCCAAATTCACGGAATGACCCTAAACTGCAGGAACTGATGAAGGTAAGAGCAAAGTCTACGACAGCTCTTTGTAAGACTATATGTAGGGAAGTTCTTCTATCCTTCAGTATATCAATCAACAAGTGTAATCCCCTGGGAGCAGTGTGGATGGGGATAGAGGTCTAGCCTTGGAGTCAGCAAGACTTGGGTTCACATTCTGCCTCTGACACATGCTAGCTAAGTGGGCTTGGGTAAGTCACTTGACCTCTACATGCTCTAAACTATATTGTTTTGGGGGGCAGAGAGAGGGTTTCAAAATAAAATTTTATTGAATCTTTTTTGTTTATACACGACCCACATTTCACACTGAAATGTGAACACTCTCACTACACCCTCCAAGAGCGCAATCCATCCCTTTCAATAAAGATTTTTTTTAAAGAGAAAGAAAGAAAGAAAAGGTTTGCAAAACTGACCAATGTATCAAAAAGGCTGGACATTATATGCAATACCCATGGTCTATACCCATGGTCACCCATTTCGACAAAGAAGCAGGGGGAAGTGTCTAAGACTAAGTTATAGACAAGTAATTTATCTGCAGTGATGAAGGGAGTTTATATACCCAGACTTTCTTATAATGTTGCAATCAAAGAATTAGAAGGAAAAAAAGACACTGTATGAGACACAAAGAAAAATAAGACATGGTCCCAGTCTTCTAGAAACTTACAGTCCAGTTGAGGAGAGAAGACATAAGCACATAAAAGGATAACTAACAATATGAGGCAATAGGTGCTAAGGGCTGAGTGAGAGATCTAGCGTGCTTATGCTCTGGGGGCACAATGAAGGGAGAGCTCACTGTGGGATGGTGATCTGAGGAGGTTTTGTGGAGGACAGCTGACTTTCCTGTAACCTACCTGAGCCCATCTCAGATGGTCACTTCAGTGATCTCAAGGGAAAAAAAACTGGAACCAGAAATAGACACGAGGACAAAGGGTGTCCTAGACACCAGAATCTCTCAATTCTTGAATTCAGTGCCAGTGTCACTGGCCAGCCATTGCTTCAGGACTCCCTGCCTCCATGGTGATGGTGTTCCAGCAGCCTGGGGGAAACAGCTTGGAAGTGATCTCTTGGACCCTGTCAGGCCTTAGAGCACTACACTGTTGGGATGGAGTAGATTAGGACTTGTCACGGAAACCTCTGAGGAGCTTAGAAATCCCTTAGAATGAGTTCGGGGTGATTCAGCATGTGGTATTCTCCCAACAGAGGAGTTCTAAATTGGTGTTCTGACCTGTTAGCAAACCCTGGCTGGTAGCAATGGAAAATTACACATTTGTTAACATATACATATATGTACATATTTGTGACATAGTCACCTATGGTCATGTATCCTATGTCTGTATAAGATTATTGGACTAAGGACTTTGAGTGAATCAGATGTATGGCAAAGTCTTTCCAATCTAGAAAGAAATAGATTTCAAGATACCAGGATGCTAACATACATTTGACTTAAGAATGAGATTCTAGCAAATTGGAGGAAGAATGTAAAAAAGACACCCTCATACTCTGACTAGCTCAGTAACAAAGTGGGAACCAGGACTCTAATATCTGACTGAGTTGCTGATTTCAATTTTAAATGTAAGAAAACATTGGCATTTTAAAGCAATTGTTATGAAATGTCTAGCTCTCATTATAAAAATATTCAAAAAATAAATAAATGACTTCTAAACAGAATTTTTCTCCCTACACATGATAAAATTACTCTAAAAGACCAGTTCATAGGATTGTAGGTTTAGATCCAGAAGGGACTTTGGAGGTATCCAGTCCATGTGCCTCATTTTATAGATAAACTGAGGCCCATATAGTTAAGTGACTTGTCTAAGGTCACACAGGTAATAAGTGACAAAAAGCAGGATTTGAACCCAGGTTCACTGAATCCAAAACCAGTGCTTATTCCACTGGGCTACACTGCCATTATGTCTTATTATTCTTCCCCTGTATCTTCTTGTTAAGTGAGGACATCTAAGAACCTGGTGAAAATAATTTTCATTAATAAGAGAATCTCCGGGAATTACTGCTCCCTATACCCCATTTTGTGCTCCATCACGGTTTTTGTACCACTTTATGGGCCTTTCTCATCTTATTTCCAGTTTGCTGCTGCTATTAGAGACCCAAGGAGTACTGGGGAGGGTCAGAAGCAGATGTCAGCAACTTTGGCCCTGAGAGTGAGCAACATTCATGGGGGCTCCTGTCAGGCTGGAGTTAAGGAAAGAGGAAAGTAAACAGAAGAAAAACAAAGGGTATAGGAGAAGAGATAAGAGAAGGAAGTAAGAGTAAGAACAAGAGTTTAAAACTGGAAAGAGGTACATGGTAGAAAGTGAGAGAAGTTCACTTCACCCTCATCCCATCTACCACCACTAAGGCTAGAAGTTGCCTTACCACAAAGTGGAAAAAATAACACCACCTTTGTCCCATTCCATGATTCCCATTCAAAAGCAGCAGTGATTTACAAATACTTCAAGCCCAGGCTGCTTGTTGACAGCTACCATGGTAGCAACTGGGCCTCATTGGCTATTTTGCCATATTTTCTTGAAAGGTGATAGGGATAGTGACTAGAATTGTGATTTGACTGTTGTAGGGAATTCTGAGTGAGGAAACACTCTATTTAATGTAAGATGGCACCTTCTCTGCAATTTATGGTCTTAGAGACTCACCTAGAGCACTGAAAGGTTGACACTTGCCCAGAGCTACTCAGCCAGTATGTGTCAAAGGTGAGGCTTGAACTCAGATCTTTGACTTTAAGGCCAGCTCCCTATTCATTCTGCCATACTTCTTTTCTCTAACCCTAACCCTAATTTTTTAAAATTGATTTTCTGTTCTTAAACATTATTCTTAAAATGTGAAAATCACCTATATCTTAATTATAACTTAGAAAAATAGTTCTTAACTTCTGTCTTCTCCTGCTCCTTTGTAGGTATTAATTGATTGGATTAATGATGTTCTGGTTGGAGAAAGAATAATTGTGAAAGACTTGGCTGAAGATATGTATGATGGACAAGTCCTGCAGAAGCTTTTTGGTAAGAAAAAAATGCTTGGAGGGCTGAGATAGTATAATATAAGGGAAAGAGCCCTGGATTTGTAGTCAGATGTCCCGGGTTCAGATCCCAGAACCATGATTTACTACTTGTGTGACTCTGGATAGTTTCCTTAACCTCTCTGGGCCTCTTTCCACATTTGAGGAGGGTTAGACTAGATAACCTCCAAGGTCCTTTCTTGTTCTTAATCTATGATCCTAAAGACATACTGCTGACTCAGGTCAAATCATTTAGACAATGGGCGAAAAATGTAGAGAGGCAGATTTCAGCTCAATATAAAGAAAAAACTCCTTGCCAGTTAAAGCTATGAACTGGGTGGCTTAGGAGTATACATGTTTCCCATCATTGGAGGTCATAAAGCATATGTTGGGTGATCAGAACTACAGGTAGATTGTAGAGTGGTATCTCAGTTGATAGGGTTTGGGCAAGAGGGTCCCAGAGGTCCCTCCTAGCTCTGAAATTCTATGATTCCATCCTGAAGCTTTCTTCATCTTTCCCAGCCAGAGATGCTACCACCCTTATTTGGACTTCCATGGAACTTGTTCTACCTCTCTGACTGGATTTTTGCATTCTATTCTGAGTTCTAGTTATTTTTACATTTCTCAATTAGATTATGAACTCCATACAGGCAGGGATTATGTTTATCTTTGTATCCTCCACAATGCTAAGAAGAGTGCTTTGACCATGACATCAAGAAGGTGATGTCATGACTTTCAAGTGAATTGGATTTAAGTGAGGCAGGGCTGTGCAAAGTCACCAGCCCCCACCCCACCCCCCCTCTCTCACTCTCTCTCTCTCCTCTGGAGCCAACCTTGTCCAGTGGCAAGATATAGATCAGAACAACTAGATATGGCCCTGGATGCATTGGGAGTCCTTGGCCTTTTTAAACTAAGGTCTTTCTCAGGTCTCAGTTTACTAAGGCAATGCCAATTCAGTGATTAAGACCAGGTAAGAAATGAGGCAAAGAATGACCACTTTTACCTAGTCCAAAAAAAAATCAATCTGGGAGGGGGAGACCCTCAGTGTTTCTGTCCAAAACAGAAAAATGTACGCTGAATGAATGAATGAATGAATGAACAAATGAATGCCTCAGATGTAAATTGACTTAAAAGTCCATTTGACTTGAGGGGAATCTATGGGGCAAGGACAGGGTGGTGTAATGGAAAGACTTATGGACAAGAAGTTAGAAAGATCAGGATTTGAGTCTTGACTCTGCCTTAGTTTCTTCATTTGTAAAATGGTTTTATTTCTACCTCTTGGGGCTCTTGTGAGGGTTAAATGGGATAAGGTACACAACTGTAGGGTGCTATTTAAACATAAATTACTAGTAAGTGTCTGATTTAGTAACAAAAAACACACCCATTGACTTATTTATCCAATTGGTTGGATCATGATTAGACTCTGTCTCAAATATCATCTAGTATATTTATATATTAAAAAAAAAGTCTCTCTCTGAAGCAGGAATTTCCACTATAGTATCTTTGCAAGTGAGCCTTAAGTCATCTCTAGAAGATCTCTTATGACAAGACGCTCACTACCTACAGAAATACTCCCCTTCCACTGTTGTGTGGCTTTGATTGTTAAGAATTTTTCTCCTACATTCAGTTAAAATCTATCTTCCTGTAAATCTCCAGTGATTGGTCCCTCTGGGGCCAATCTGATCAAGTATAATTCCCCATCTACATAGCAGCCATGAAATATTTGAGGACAGTTACTGGGAGCCCTGGAAGTCTTCTCTTCTCCACATTAAACATTCCTAATTCCAGTTCATTCACCCAACTGAACACATCCCACTTCGTCAATATCCTTCTTAAAATGTAGCAACCAAAACTGAAGACAGGACTCTATGCCATGAAGACTGGTTAAAGGAAGATTGGTTAAAGGATATTGAGGTTCAATGTGAGAGAAAAATTCCTCACCACTAGAGCTATCCCAAAAGACAAAGGGCTGCCTCAATGGGACCCTCCTTCACTTGATGTCTTCAAGCAAAGAGTGAATGCTTACTTATCAGGTGTGTTGTAGAGATGAGTTCTGTTTAAGTCCAGGCTAGGCAAGATTTAAACTGTGGCAGCCATCCTGGCCCATGCATGTCAACTTGCTAGGCCAGAAAAGGATGGGTGTAGGGGTCTGACCAGGGAGCTTTGCTTAGCATGGAAAAAAAGGGGAAAAAATCTGTCCTTTTCTTCCCTTGTCACTCCAGAGAAACTCGAAAGTGAGAAGTTGAATGTTGCCGAGGTCACCCAGTCTGAGATTGCCCAGAAGCAAAAACTACAGACTGTGTTGGAAAAGATCAACGAAACACTTAAACTGCCTCCAAGGAGCATCAAGTGGAATGTTGACTGTGAGTTTTTGGTTCTGTATGTTGTTACTGTCAGATGTGGAGCTGTGTTCCCCTCTATTATCTGTGCCCAAAGACCATCTCATTGCTTGTATTTATGTCCATAGTATTTAGCACAGTGTCCAACACATGGTGCACACTTCATATATGCCTTTTCAGGTTTTTTTTGTTTTTTAACTTTTTTTTTTTGGTAAGGCAATCAGGGTTAAGTGACTTGCCTAGGGTCACACAGCTAGTAAGTATCAAGTGTCTGAGGTCGGATTTGAACTCAGGTCCTCCTGACTCCAAGGCCAGAGCTCTATCCACTGCGCCACCTAGTTACCCCTCATACATGCCTTTTCACTCATTCAAAGAGCATATCCAACAAACTCAGGCTGTAAAAAACATGGGTCTTTTGGGGTGAGGAGGGTGAGGTGGCTTTTGTCATCTTAGTTTCTTTAAATCAATAAGGGCTTCTTAACCTGGAGTCATCTGTGGATAGATTTCAGGGGAATTTGTATGAGGAAAAATCACGTTATATTTTCACTAACCTTTGAGTGAAATCTAGCTTTCCCTTCAATTATGAATGTAGGAAACAAACAAGATTCTAAGAGGGGAACCATAAGCTTCAAACCAGACTGCCAGAGGGAGTCTGTGGCACACAAAAACAGGTTTTACTTCTCCCCTAGGAGGAGAACCTGTCCTGATTCCTTGAAATCATTGGATCTAGCCCATGATAGATGATAAATGTTTGTTGGGTGACTTATTGATGGAAAACAATCAGAAGTCAAACTATCTATAATTTCTGTGCTACATAGGAAAAAGGTGATGATTCTGAATATAAACCAGATTTTTTACAATATAATGATGAGATTTGATTCATTTTTTCTTTTTTTCCCCTAGTTTTCTTTTTCAAAAATTCATTATTATAAGAGATAGCTCTCTGTCAGGGAGAGAAGGATATAGAGAAGAAATCTGGGTGATGTAAAAACCAAGGACAGCAATAAAAGTCTATTTTAAAAGAAGAAAAATATGATAGAGAATGGTTACACAAAAAAATACACTGAATTTGGAAACACTCAAGACTTGAGGTAAAATATTAGTTTTGCTGCTTACTTAAGCCTGTTTTTTGGGGTAAGTCACTCCACTTTTCTGGGTCTCAGTTTCCCATTCTGTAAAGTGAGAAAGTTCCTCTAGTTGCCTCCTAAGGTCTCTTCCAGCTTAAAATCCTATGCTTCTAAGAGCAAGAGGCAGGAGAAACAAAAGAAAAAGGGAGGAAAGAGAGGAGGAAAAGAGAGAGAGCAAAGTTGTAGCTGAGTTTTTAGTAACTGTTGGTTGGGATTTCACAGTTCTGGTTTTCATAGCAACTGCAAACTCAAGCGTTTCCTTAAATGTGAAGCAGTAAGCCTTTCACCGTCCCTAGGGATATACAGTACTACATGTACTTAGTGGACCCAGTGGAGTCCAGCCCTTAAAGTCCAATACTATCAGACCTCTCCAAGGGGCTAAAAAAGAGACTTGTTTGGGTTGGAAAAGAAACAAATTACCTCCAAGCTAAGGCGATGCTTATATTATAGCATTCAGGTGTAATGTCCTGGGAAAGTTAACATCTGAAAACAGGGACTTGGGATGAAAAGACCACCTCCCATCTCCCCACCCAACCCTCATGCTACCTTGGCTTAGAAACCACGGTAACCAAGGCATGGTGCCAGGTAGCTGCAGCTCTCAGCTGAAAGGGGTCCTTTTTGAAAACAGGAGATAGGCTGCTGGTAATTTGATTCAACAATGTATATTAAGTGTTTCCTATATAAAAGAACTGATGTTTGGCAAAGAGGATACAAAGATAAATAACATGATTAAATTTGACAAGAATTTATTAAGTATCTAAATGTGTTACATATGTGCAAGGCACTGAGCTTGGATCTAGGGATACAGAGATGAAACAATGACACCATCCCTGTCCTCAGGGAACTTTCATGTCTACTAAGGGAGATGAGATCCAGACACAAAGTAAGTGATACATGGAGTTTATGATATACTTAAAAGGAAAAGCAAGCTTACATAAAGAGAGCCACAGTTTCATGCACGATCGTCTTTTTCTATTCTACTTCATATATGAAAATGCTCATTTTATTTGATATTTGTTAAGTCCAGAATAAAAAAAGAAATTTAAGAAATACCAAGAAAGAAAAGAAAAAAGATGGGAGGGAGGGAGGAAGGGAAGGAGGGAAGGAAGGAGGAAAGAAAGAAGGAAAGAAAAAAGAGAGAAAGAGAAAGAGAGGGAGAGAGGGAAGAAGGAAGGAAAGAAAGATAAGGAGGAAGGAGGAAAACTAGGAGAGACAAGTAAGTGGAATACAAAATAGAGGAAGACAAACTTAGATAAAATACAAAATCCTCAGCCTACCATTTAAAGCACACCACAGTCTAGTTTCTAATTTCCTTTCCGTTCTTATTTTTGAATCTCCCTCCTTCCAGAAAAATCTGACCTACCAGTTGTTCCCAATACATGGCATTCCATCTCCAAGTCTGTACCTTTGACCTCAATGTCTAGAATGTTCTCCTTCCTTACCTCTCTCTCCTGGAATTTCTAGCTTCCTTCAGAACTCAGCTCACTTACCATATCTCACTCCAGGCCTTTTCCTGAACCTTCTCTTCCCCAGATACATAGTGCTCTCTCCATCCTGAGATTACTTTTGTTTTTACCTTGTGCTTACTTCTCTGTGTACATGTTACATCCCACTAGTAAACCATAATAAGCTCCTTAGGGCAGGGACCGTTTCATTTCATCCATGCCTAGTGAGAAATAGACATGTTTGTCAAATTGAAGGACTGCCAAGGCAAGGTTAAAAAGTGTAATAGAAGTCAAAGAAGGAAAAGGACATTTCCTGCCTGGGATAAACCAAGAAAACTTCCTGGAGGAGAAAACATTGGAGCTGACCCTTGAAGAATGTGGAAGATTTTTAAAAGACATGCACAGTTATCTCATTTGATAAATTCTGTGATTTTTTTTCTTCCAAGAGTAAAAGATAAAAGTAATACAACCTCAGTTAACTTGGAAAAGGACATTGAACAAAATGCATTTCTTTTTTGCTTAATATTTGTTAATTTGTTCAGTTAAAGGTTTTATGTGAAATTTTACTCATTTTTTTAATATTTATTTAGATACTTGTTTTTGTTTATGGTTTAAGTTTATAACAAAAGTTTTCTAAAGAAATAAAAATATAAAAGTAAAAAAAAACATGCACAGGAGATGGAAGCAAAAATAGGTAACAGAGGATGAATACAGAACTGTGGTACAGTCTTGTTGGAATAGTGTCAGGAAGGCTAGAGCTCAAGATAAGCTAAGGCTAACTTTTCAAAGAGTTTCTTATGGCTATATTGGGTGGAGGTGGGGGGAAAGAAAGGAGGCTCTTAGAACTCTAGGACCATTATATGGGGTACATGGTGTAAGACTTGGACTGGTGAGGCTGGGATATATCACCTCTGGGATATATCAGTCTTTTCTAAATAAATGAAACCAGAAGACAAAATGAAGGTGCAGGTAAATGGAAGAATGGCATATAGGTTCTCCTTAGAGAGTCAAATAAAGGAGTTGGTATTATCATAAGCAAAAGAACCTTCAACATCATTTCATGGAATCAAGTCATATTGTAAGGCTCACAATAAGAATTGGTTAAAAAAAAAAAGACCACTATGAGTCAAAGGATACAAATAAACAATTCCCAAAAAAAGAAATGCAAACTATTAACAATTTTAACAACCATATGAAAGGTTGCTCCAAAACACAAATAATAAGAGAAATTCAAATCAGAACAACACTAAGTTGTCACCTCCAACTTGACAAATTGACAAAGACAATAAAAGGTAGAAATAGAAAATATTGGAGGGGTTGCAGGTAAAGCTATGAATTGGTCAAAACATTAAGGAAAGCAATTTAGAGTGATACTTCTAAAAAGTAACTAAAATGTCCATATCCTTTGACCCAGAGATTCCACAGCTAGACATATAAGCTCCAGGGATGCCAAACATAGAAAAAGTATCCACAATATACCAAAATATCAATTGCAGCATTTTTGTGTTAGTGGAGAATTAGAAACAAAAGACACACTTGCTCATTGAATGGGGAATAGCTAGACAAATGATAATTGAATGGAATGAAAAATTACTGCACTGTAAGAAAAATAACTCTAGAGAATTCAAAGTAGTGTGGGAAGATTTATATAAACTGACACAGAGTGAAGTAAGCAGAAACAAGACTTATAATGACCAGATGCGGCCCTAGAGAAGAGTTGAGAAAAGACAAACACTTCTCTCCCTTTGTTAAGGAGGTAGAGAATAGACAGATAGATGGATAGATAGATAGATAGATAGATAGATATGGATATATATATGTAGAATGTTGCATATGCTGTTAGACATAGTCAAAGTGTTGGTTGGTTTTGCTGATTTTTTTTTTTAATTATCATTACCAAGGAAGTTTCACTTCATGGAGGGAGGGAAAGAGGACATATTTGGAGATGTGAAGACATCCATGGAACTTTTTATAAAGACTCCCATGAAAATGTAGTTTATGTACCAATATCTTGACAAATAGAGAAAATTCTATGAAGAATATGATAAAATCATCCATACAAAATCAATGCATATTGTAATACTTGGTGACAAACTAAAAAATGAACATAGAGGATCATGGGTTTTTTAAAAATTGGAAAACAAAGTTTAGAAGTAAGAAACAAGTGTGACCAAAGGCTCATAGACTATTCAGAGGCTCTACCCCATACATACATACATACATACATACATATACATATATGTATATAGATAGATAGATAGACAGATAGATAGATAGATAATGAATACTTTCCTTGAGAAGAGAGTAATAGGGCTCTGTATATGGCCAGTATCAAATAATATCACAAAAACATGAAATCGATTATATTTTAACAGTCAGGAAATGGACTAACTATTGATTTGGGAGTTGTTTCTGAATCAGTGCATGTATTCAGACCACGTACTTGCTAAAA